CGATTTGCCCCCCTCCTCTCCCCTCCACAGACTTACCTGCAGGAAGCTGCTCTCCATGCTGCCCGACTGCATTCCTGTAAATCAGTTATTGGACTGGTATTGGTCAATATGCCTGGTAAATAATCAGTTAACAGTATCGGCCAAGAAAATCTTTATTGGTGAACCCCTTACCTGCAACTCATTGAATGTTAGTAAACCATTTTCTCCACTATGACTTATTAGAAATAGAATCTAGCCCCCACTTAGCTATGTACTCTCTACTGGGCTACAGAGTAAACACATGCCTTCTGACACTCGGGCAAGTTGATGGCATGCCAATTAAACCCAGGGAACCATAAGCATTTTTATTTTATTTTCAGGAACATTCATCAGATTACGAGAATGCTAAGCATGTAACCTAAATTTTTCCACCTTGAACCTGTAAGTTATACTGCATAATTTCTATAATTTTGTGAGGTAACAACTGGTCATTAAAAATTTAACTAAGATTATTAATCTGTAGTACAGTCAAAGCCTTCAGCCATCTGCATTCACTCAGTTTTTCGTCAAATGCAGAAAACCCCAGATAACTGAAGCACCACTATTTATTTTTATATCATATTTCTACCGCCCATCTGCTCTAAATTTTCTATTTATGGCAAAGCTTATGAAGTGGTCAGGTAGCTTGTGTCACATGGAAAGGAAGACAAGGACACAGAAAAGCAGAGAAGGTAAACCACTTAAATTACACTGGACTGACTTACTGCCTCAATTTAGTCTCTCAAATCCAATTTGGTCACCTTTATCTCCATAATGAGCAGAATCCATGACAGAGAGAAGCAGCAGCAAGAACTTGCTCTGACCTTCATGTTCACAAGCAGCACTACAGGTGCTGAACTGGACACTACAAACAATTTTCCTGGTGATATTTTTGCTCATTTTTCAACATGTGAAAAATTATTTCCCTTAATCTCCATTAGGGACAAGAAGAAGAGGTCTATTTCATGTAGAGTTTTAGACAGAAAACCAAAACTAAGAAGCAGAGAGAAAAAAAACTATTGTGTTTCATTTTCATAACTCTGGTCAAAACAATTTATGCTTCTGTTTTACCCTATATGACATGGAATATTACCTCCCTCAAGGTTACATTAACAACATAATAGTATTGTCCTTGAAGGCCCATGATCTGAATATACTGTAGACAAAGAAATACTATTTTGTCTGTTAACAATCATTTCTACCAATCCTTATTGCCTAATATGGGAACGAACAAACACCAAAACCGTGCAGAAGATAGCTCATAAGGACAAAGAAAAAAAGTGTTTTTTAAAGCTGAAGTATACACCAGTCCCCAATTAAATGCAAATAACCACACTCTGGTTCAGCTACACAGTTCTGCAAAAAAAAAATCTCTCTCCTGAATTAAGAAAATAAATGTATATGGCTACCTAAATGCATAAACCTTAAAGACCATATGCAGCAGAACAGTAAACATCTGTAATATAGTTATTTGTATCCAGTACACAGAATTGTAAATATGCAGGTTTTCAGGCACTATACAGGTAATTTTTGTGATGCATAATTAGAACTTGCATGGGTGAAACTTCCACTGTCAGAATCTTGTATTTGTAAGAACTGTAATCCTGACACTCAAACTGCTCGTTTATACATTACAGAGAACAGCAGAGCTACAAATTCTACTGCAAATTATGTGCCAATTACATACACACACAGGCAGAACTGTACAGCCAACAATTCTGGTCTTCTGCCTTGCAGGTGGGGTGAAGAAAACCATTTCTAACAATAGGTACCAGACTGCCAGTTACTAGCAACCTGATCCATCATCAATTATTTACTCTCACAAGAAGCTGCAGTTTCCATATGTGTTAGTAACTGCACAATGTACCAGAAAAAAGTCCTCCCTCCTTCAATCGGTTTCAATTAATCTGAATGGTCACCTTCCTTGACTAACAACATTTAACATCAAAGTTCAAAATCTGTATGTACTCCTATATTTTGACACTCTTATTAAACGCTACATTCACAATGTCACCTTTAAAAAAACCCAGCAGATATGTACCCATCATTGTGTCTGAAGTAACCTGGAGGTGCTCTCTCTTTAGCTGTCAAAGCCAAAGCAAATATTCAGGAGCGTTTAAGTTGTATCAACAATATGAAAGCTGGACAGCACCAACATGCCAAGTAGACATTGCTCTTTCTCCTCCTCCCTGGGCAAATATACCCATGTTTATCTTTTTCTCTCTACTCTTCTTGCTCCAGTGCAAGTACACAACTGCGGCAGCTCAACCTTACACTGTCACATAAACGTATGGCCTTTCAATAATATGTAGGCTCCCTACAATGCAAATTCAGTTCAGTACTGTAATCAACAGCAATCAATTTACAAACTGGTTTCACAAAAATATAATGTTATGGATGTCTCGTTCCAAAGCATCCAACTGACTCGAGGCTCTGTGGAAGACAGCCGAGGAACACGAGGACCTGCAGCAATTACGGTTCAACCTAACAAAGTACGTAGCTATACCACTGCTAGCCAAGCAACTCCTTGAGAAACCAAAGGATGCCAACTGGTTTCTGTGCTTACAGCCTCATCAGCATTACTGACATGACAGCCAAGGTTGGTGCAGTTGACACTAAAGATCTGCTCAGTCAATCACCATTTATTTGACAGAGGTCATCAACAGTTCTATATGAATTATCAACCATTGATATGCATTTCCAAGACTGATAAGCATCAATGTCAGTCACAGGGCCATAGCAATATCCAATGCAGGGTATCCACAGGATATGCCTATATGGCCTCGCCCATACTATCTTCCAGTGGTAAAATTCCAGTGCGATTCCAACAGTTCTTACTGATCACTGGAGTCACTTTGTCCCAACTTAGCACTGGCCAATGGGCCACCCCACATTCTATTTAAGTGGCATCAGTAACACTGATGTGGAATCCTAGAAAATAATGCCATTTTTTTATCTTAGCAGGCAGCGATTGATTCTTAAGTCCACTAGACATTAGACAGCGGTGGCTCTAGAAACTCTACTGAGACATTCGCTTGCTCTTTGGGATGATGCCAATGGCGTGTACTGTTTATCAGCAATGAAAGTGTTCTCATGTTTCATTCAAGTCAAACGACTGCAGGAATTCTTGTAGAATCCCATTCATCATGACTCTTTTCCTGTTTGCTTAGCGCAGCACAGATTCCATGCTCTTCCAATGTTTGTAGGCCTGTTTATTTGTGCCAAAAATATTTGCATACTGGATGTCATACATCTACTCCTAGTTTTTGCCTCCTTTAGTCTTGCATGACCATCCATAAATTGTCATGCATCATTCAGGTAAGTCAACCTGTCTAAACTAGGGGCCCACAGAGCCAGGGGTCTTCAATGGAATTCCAGCAGTGCCAGAGCTGGGCTGGCAGAGAGATGCAATGGTGGCAGCGGCCAGCTCCTAGTGCCAGCCTCCCTCGAACCAAGGTGGGTGATTCCAGCCCACCACTAGAAAAGGCTGCCATTTCTTGGTCTAAATTATAGATGCCACACAACAAGTACCCCTCAGTCTACTGTTGGGCCTGCTCTCAGCCACTGACGAACAGAACTAGATAAATGCTTGTACTTTAACTGTAAATTAACTGATGTGCAATTTGCTATACAGCTGATTCAGTGAAGTTAGAGATTAGAATGCACAAAGTCTACCAAGTCAAGCTTCACACCAGAATGCTTAGCTTTCTCATGCAAGGTTGCATCCATTGTCGTAAGCACTCTCAGACTACAACTGCAGCTTGACTTTTAAATCAGAGGGGGCTAATCTGAAGCACAGGTGCCTCAAGTGGCAAAGCCAGTCTGTGTGTGGGGCATGTGGTGGATCAGAGAGGGGACAGGCAGCACAGCAGCAGATGGGGCAGGGAGTACAGGGAAGGAAGTAGACAGCAGACCAGAAGATCAGGGAGAGAGCACAGGGCAGAGAGCAGAAACAGCAGCAGATCAGGCAGGGGAAGGGAACCAGAGTGGCACTTGGAGGGGTCTGGGACTAATCTGTTTTAGATAATAATCACAGAATCATAGAAAATTAGGGTGGGAAGGGACCTCAGGAGGTCATCTAATTCAACCCCCTGCTCAAAGCAAGACCATCCCCAGCTAGATCATCCCAACCAAGGCTTTGTCTAGCCATGTTTTAAAAAAAACCCCAAGGATGGAGATTCCACAACCTCTCTGGGAAACCCGTTCAAGTGTTTTATTATGCTCCCAGTGAGAAAGTTTTTCCTCATATTTAAACTAAACTTCCCTTATTTTGCCATTCTCAGCTTCTTTGGAATGTCAGCACTGTTTTAATCCATCCAGTTTTACTTCTTGGTGATATCATTACTAGTAGCATAACTGCTAAGTGCATGGCCAAATTTAACATCTATCAAGTTTTCATAGCAGTACTTGCATGATAGAACACATTTCTTTCCTTTGTTTAGTGTTCGTGAAAAATATTTTGTTTTGCAAACGCTGAGATATACTGTAATGGCTATGTTCAGTGCATCCGATTTGCAACTGCATAATGTGGCAAACAGTTCTGTGCCCATGTTTTTGGACACGTGGATTTTAGCATAACAAGTGATATGGGTATGTAGTTAGTGTATGGCAATGGGGACATGCAATTACCAGCACAAACCATGCATTGAGAAGCATGCTTTTTAAGCAATAAAAAATAACTTCCTGAAGAACACGAAATCACGCAAAAATTATAAAAGCAGTATAACAGAATGTCTGAATGCCTATGGCAAGGGCAAACATCAAGTTCAGTAGCTTTTTGAGGTAATCAATCCAGATGGATATTAATGAAAATTCTGGAAAAACAAGGAACAACAGAATTATATAGTACCTATACAGAGCATTAAGAAGCTGTAAATGTCCTTACAAAACTGAATTGTAAAGAAAAAAACTACGGTAAAATAAACCAACTATTCGTGATTAATTCCTACTGATAAGTGAATGTACTCATCATTCACTTATCCTATTCTTGATAAGATACCACTTTTTAAAAGAAGGTACTTAAACTTTTCCCCTCATTAAAGGTTCATCCTTTCCCTTACCATCTTTCTTGTAAGAGCTAGAACTCTGTTGAAGCCTGGAGAGGAGTTCTGGAACAAAGGCTGATTATAGGGAACATATCTCAATTGCTGCACATCTATTACAGAGTAGTCTGTCAGGCCATAGTCCAATTCACTCATTGAATAATCCATTAAAAACATTGAGTCATACTTTCCTAGACTTTTACATTCTCTGAGAAAACAAATACAGATGTTTCACTCTTAAGGGCATGGGTGTCTGCTGAACAATACAAACAGGTGTCTTGGCAATCATTTATGGCAAACAGTACTGACCAATTTAGGCAGATGTTATATCTTGGGGAATTAGGCATAGTACTTTTTTCTATTGCTAAAAGAAAGAGGAGAGAAAGTGGAAAAAAACCTCTTTTTCATATCCCAAGCTACATGAAATCTACTTGCTGTTATAAAATATGAACTATTCTTCAAAGTATCCACATTAAGCTAATCTGGTCTAGAGCTAAGAGTGCAGATAACTGCACTCAAACAATGGTTTCAAGAAAGAATAGAGCAGCAGTTGTTCCCATTTCACTCTTTCTATGCTATGGTGCGCAAAGATAGCAGGTATATATGTGCAAACACTGCCAGCAAAATGCTCCTACCTCAGGCGTATGGATCACATGCACAAGCTACACTGGAATACACACCCAGACAAGCACTCAAAGAACTCACTATACAACTTAAGAGTTATTGACAGCTGTCAAGACAATGAAAGAGCCATTCTCCTGAGAGACAGGAAGAACTGAATTAAGACGTTCAGGTGCAAAAATGTAATACATATTAAATAATGCTTTTGAACATACAGAATAAAATGTGTCAGAGTACTGAATTAAATTAATTTTAGTAACTATCAATTAAATGTTTCATATTTATTCAGATTATAACGTTTATCTCCAGATCTAAGCAACTGTAAACTATGCTTGCAATTTCAGTACCTAATCTCCTTATACTCACATAATTCTTGTGACTGGACTGTTTAGTTGTGATGTCACTTTCCCCTTCTATTCTTTTGCCCTTCAAATACCTAATAAAACAGCAAAGTCAGTCACTTATTTTCCTTTTGCTTTTCTCTGCAGTGAAAACATCAAGACAAATTTGTTACAAAATGATTTAAAAGCTATAAAGTCTAAGAATAAAACATTTGGTGCATTGTAAGATTTATAAGATGGCTCCAGTTAAAACAGAAGACCACCTCCTCCTTCAGAAAAGTAATGCAAATGGTAATTCCGATTCAGTATTGTCTATTAAAGACCATGGTATCTTACTGTAACTCAGTCACGCTTTCTCCTAGAACCAGAATTATTTCTTAACACAAGTTTGATCTATCAGGATCAAAAGTCAAAGTTATTATGGTAAATAATGCTTAAGTCCATATTACACTGGCGAAACACTATTTAATACATAGTAAAAAGTACTAAGCCAAGTGGTTCTCAAACTTTTTAGGCTCCGAGACCTCTCCATAATTTCCATGAGTTGAGCAACACCTCAATCCAATAACTAATGTATTTACTGAAACACTTAAATCCTGGGAGGGTGGGAGAAGGACCAACCACTTAGTTCCCCACAGGGCAGTGGGATGACCACAAAGCTTTACCACCTTGCACTGGAGGCCTCAAACTGGAGGCTTCCCCTGAGCTTACCTCCTAGCACAAGGGATGGGAGAGGAGTAAACACATAACTTCTCAAATGGGATGGCAGAGATAAAGCATGAGCTTCCCCAGAGACAAGGCTGCACTTACTTCCTCACACAAGGGCCAGGAGGGGAAGAATAAGTGTTTATCTCCTCATACCCTGCATCACCCTCAAAAAGTTCCTGCTCACAGAACCCCTGTTGAGAACCACTGACTTAGACTAAACAATAGCCATCACTATCCGATTATAATGGAAGGACTTTGGAGCAGTGACTGCATCTAACTTCTACATGCAGCATCATGCACACTCCAAACATTACACACAAGCATCACTTAACAGATACCAAACATTATTTTATATCTAATAAAAATCTAGTCAACAAGACAGTTAACTAACCTTTCATTAAAATGCAGATTTTCATGACACTTATCAGTGACATAATTATCAGGTGTTATCCCATGCTCCAGGTTACAATCATAAGTAAATCAAATAATCAGTGAAAGTTCCCTTTCCTATAAGGAATTTTTTCTTAACTAGTTGCATATTTCTTACCAGTGGCTGAGTGGCATAGTCCTCACAGTGGGGAACATAGGTTATTTGTCTTCCTCAAGCAGTGTGACCCTCCCCACCTTCTTCAGACTAAGATTTAGTTAATAAACTAAATAAACAGCTGTAAAAACAATGCTACTTTAGCTTGGAACTTGTTGCACAATGTTTTAAACTTATTTCCTTATCAAGCTGCTGTGCTGAGAACAAACAACACTGCAGCCAGTATAACATTTTGAAGTACTGATGAAAAGTGACTGATGGCCACATATTTGTTCTGTCATACTTGTTCTAACATATCTCCATGCCAAAGACCAAGTTTTCTCTTCCAAAGTCTTGAAGCTTCAACACCTGATTTCAGTATCTCCGAGTTGACTCTTCACTGGAATTTGTTCACAGGTCTCCTACAGTCCACCAGGCCAAGACTCTCAGAGAGCCCTATGGCTCCATATTTACAAGGCAAATAAAACTGTGTCAGAAGAAGCTGTCTCTTACTGTGGTTAAAATGTATTTCAGGGCAAATGGAACCTAATGCTTAAGATTCTCTTTCTCTCCCAAAACTAAACATACTTCAACCACATCAAAACAGCTAGTCCTACCCACGCACTGGTGCACCAAAGTGGAACTTGTTTAAGAAATTGCATAATAATTCAGAAGTACTGGGTTTTGGGACACAGTAGGCCATTTGAAAGATTCTTATGGAAGAGAAGATTTAACAGCCCAGGAGACAACAAAACCTTTACAAATTTACACACCTGCATCACCTGGGACTCCCTGTCAGCCATCTGCTCTGGTTCACTCCACAATTAGACAGCCGAATTAATTTTATCAGAGAACACACCCATAACACTTTAGAACAGCACACATCAAAAAAAATTGTGACGACACTTCTTAACTGAACTGGCAATACTGCGATTGATGTACAATTTTATTACTGAAAAGCTAGGGCATAAACAATTTGCAGTCTTCCAAGCAATATTCACTTCTACCTGCTTGAGGCATGTCAAGCACATAAGCCAATTAAAAACTATGTTCATGCACACACTACCTCCACCTTCATCATCTGTCCTAATCACTGCCCACCCTTTCTTCACAAAGCAGAGAATAAAATTGCAATATAAAAAAAACAAACTTAACTATTTAACTAAGAAGCTTATTGCTAACAAAAAATATTTTCTCCTTGCCTTTTCTAATGGTCAAGACTATTATTTGGGAAATGATCACCAATTCCAAAAACAATGAAAGGCCCAGTGCTTCACAAAGATACAAGACCTTAGAACAGAAACTTTAAGAGATATTTTATTTTATTTAAAAACTTCAAAAATTGTGCACATATGCACTTTATTAACATAATAAGTTTTTTTCCATTCTATCATAAAACCAACTTTGCAAGGTCTAGCAATAAAACACAGTAAATATTCGTTCCTGTTCCTTGTGCTTCCTCCTCAGTGAAACCAAGGGGTGTGTGTATTGCACAGTATTGTAACCAATCCTCAGTTCCACAAGACAGGCACAACATTTTCTAGTTTCAGCAGAGAGATGGGCTTCTTCACAAGAGTATTCCTTATGTTTAAGGAGCTAAAGAGTTGAAGGGCAAAGGAAGACAGATCATGGACCTACTCCACCTAAAAAAGAAGGTGGGGAGAAGAGGAGTTAATACACTAGAGCAGGGGTTGGCAACATTTTTTGGCCAGAGTGCCAAAAAACCACAATGTCTATCTTGGAAGGTGCCAGAGTGCTGACATGCCAGAGCCTGAAGCAGCTGTTTGTAGCCTCCTGGCTGCAGCCAGCCCATGGAGCCCAGTCTGCTTGCAGCAGGGCTTGCAGCCTCCCAGCTGCCTGCTGGGAGCAGCCTGGGCTCCATGGCTAGCAGCAGCTGCTTGGAGCCCAGGCTGGCGGTGGTGTGTGGAGCAAAATGGCCTTGCGTGCCATGCTCGGCACATATGCCAGGAGTTGCTGACCCCTGCACTATAGCAACATGGCCTAACAAATATGCACCCAGGTAACCTCCGGACACTTCACCCTGATTGGTGACTTTCTATGACTGCACCTGCAGGCAGCGATTTCCTAGCTCTCCCAGACTTGTGTACAAGTCCTGCACACATAAGGATACAGTCAAAAGATTTTACAACGAAAATTCTCATTAGGTCCCCAGATCGTGATGTTCTTAAAAAGTCATTTTAAAAGGCACAAAGCAGCAAGGCTCCTTTAAAAGGATATCAGAGGGTCAATGCATCTTTCATAGGGTACATGGCAAATTACAGCTGGTATCATTTCCTCTTCATGCCCCCACTTGTTGCTGCCATGTGCAATCTTCGTGGTAAGTGGCTTTTTGTGTGGTTAAACACGTTGTGGAACCAGAGAATGAAAACAAGAACTATTTTCAAATCAAATTTTTTCTTTTGTCTTGTCCTTATTTCAGTGCTAAGGAAGCAATCAGCAACACAACCACTTTATTCAACCATTTCAAATAAGCCGCTGGATGCTAACTAGCCTTGAAAATGACAAGGGACTGAGGTACCTTAAAGAACAGGCAACAATACTGTGAGAAACGCCACTAAGTACCCCAGGATCTGGACTGTGATGCTCCAGAAGTGAGAGTCCAAAACGACTTTACCACCACCAGTATCACTCAAATACCATCCTGCTTCCTACTAGCCCAGAAAGCATAAGGCAAGCTCCACCTACTTTTAAAATACAAAAGGTTTCACTTCCTCTAGACTAAAACCCCCTGTATCACTTACCTCTTGTTTTTTGTTCAATATACATTCATATAGCTAACCTATTTTTAAAGCGTTCTTATAGCTTAAAGCACAGGCGGGAGACAGATGTGCGCAGAGAGAGACACACACACGCGCCCACTAACAGATGCACACACAGACCTAAGCAGACCCAGATCCACGCAGACATGCACGCACACAAACGTGCACCCTAACATGCACACCCACACAGAGACACACGCAATACTGATATACACTCACACACATGCACACAGACCCAGGCAGACATGTGTGCACACGGACACACGCAAAGACCTGTGCACACATTCATAGATATGCACACCCATGGACGTGTGCACACTCAGACACACGCGCACAGACCCACGCAGACAGCAGGCACACTGACACATGCGCGCGCACACTGACACACGCACACACAGAGCCCCGTGCACACACACGCACACAGGCGCGTACTGACGCGCAGACAGACGCGCGCGCAGAGCCGCGGCGACGCGCGGACACGGCCCCAGGCCCCGGACGCAGTCAACACCCGCGCGCTCCTTCCCCCCGTGGCTGCCACAGCCTGGTCCCGCTCGGGCCGCCCCTTCCCCGCCAACCGGCAGGGCTGCCCAAGTCACGCGACCGTTGGGTGCCTACCGTGTCCGCGCCTCCCCCACCTGCTCCGGGCCGGAAGAAGGGCGCCGAGGGGCGAAGACCGAGACGGCGCCGCCCGCCGCTTCGCTGGGCTTTTTTTGCTTTTTTTTTTTTTTTCTTCTCCCCTTCTTTTTTTGCCCCTTTCCTTCCTCTTCCGGCACCGCCGGAAGTGGTTGGACCGGAAGTGGCATCAGAGCAAAAACGCGGCAGCGCCACTCTAGCCAGCTGTTCTGGGCTCTATCGTGCTGCCTGGCTGGCAGCGGCTGCCATAGCAACCACATCCGGAGCTGTTGCCGCGGCTTGCTGTCCGGTCCTGCCCGCGGGAGAGGCGGCAGCGCCCTGCCCTGCCCTGCCCGGGTCGGGTCGGCAGGGGAGCCGGCGCCGGCCCAGCCCGCCCTGCCTGGAGCGTCTCCAAGGCCAGTCCATCCTTTCTTATGGGGGGGAATCTTTCTGTCCATCCTTCCCTCTGTCCGTCGGGCCAGGGTGGGGGCCATCAGGGAGTAGGGCACCCCAGGGAGACACTCCCTGGCAGCACCTCATGGCACTCACATGCTTGTTTCATCTGGCTTCAGGGGCACGAGGGGAGAGGGGCGACGGCGGGCGGACCAGGGATGTGGGGCACCCCGTTCCCGCTCTGGCGAGAGATGCCGGACAGACGGTGCTGTGCCCGTGAAGAGGAGCTTCTTTATCCATGCGGAAAAAGGCCGGGAGAGCCTGCTGTTGGACCCATGTGGGACTCCAGTTCTGGGACAGGAGCTACGTTATGCGGATGAAGAGAGGATCCTGCCCAAAATAAACTTGTAACAAGGCCCTGAACTGCTTCAGCAATGGCAGAACATCAACATGCAGGCAACTGCAGTCCCGGTAAGGCCTGCCCTGCAGGGGAGGCAGATGTGCAGAATGAATCTGGAAGGAACTTTTAATCACTGCATTCCCTCCTAAGCACCAACTTGGCTTTTTGGACTCTGCTTTCTAGATCCGGGCATTCAGAGGTTAAGATGTGTTAAACGGGGATTAACCTATTGAGGGTATCCAGAAAGATACCAGTGACTTTACCAAGTTGCTGTTTACAGCATGATGACAGTGACCGCCGTAGGCAGACTTGAAAACCTGTCTAATTAAAGAAGTTGATATCAGAAAGCGGCAGGGCAAGAGCACATATTTATGTGTGGGTTTGTTAGGGAGTACTGGATACCATGGCAGAGACTTCAGTAGTAGATCCCTCACCTTTACCTGTCATAAGGAAAAAGAAAAGCTTATCCATTGAGGAAAAAATTGACATAATAAGTGCAGTGGAAAGTGGCAAGAAAAAGGCAGACATTGCTGCCAAGTACGGCATAAAGAAGAATTCGCTATCTTCAATTATGAAGAATAAAGACAAGGTTCTAGAAGCCTTTGAATCCTTACGATTTGATCCAAAAAGGAAAAGATTAAGAACTGCTTTTTATACAGATCTAGAAGAGGCATTAATGAAGTGGTACAGAATTGCTCAGTGCTTAAACGTACCTGTAAATGGTCCAATGCTGCGTCTCAAAGCTAATGACTTTGCCCAGAAACTTGGACATAGTGATTTCAAGTGTAGTAATGGCTGGCTTGATCGTTTTAAATCAAGATATGGTTTAGTATTCAGATCTCAGCCTGTAGAAACTGGTGCTGCCGCCACACTGGATACTTCAACTGTTTGGTACCAGAATGTGCTTCCTTATTATTTAAATGATTACCAGCCCAAAAATGTGTTTAATGTAAAGGAGACTGGGTTGTTCTATCGCATGTTGCCTAATAACACTTTTGCATTTAAAGGGGAGACCTGTACTGTTGGAAAACTAAGCAAAGAGAGAATAACGGTGGTTGTTGGTACAAATATGGATGGCACAGAGAAACTTCCTTTGCTTGTTATTGGGAAAAATAAAAATCCTCACTGCTTTAAAGATGTGAAGTCGCTGCCTGTAGATTACGAGGCAAATGATATGGCGTGGATGACTTCAGAAGTCTTTGAACAATGGATGCATAAACTTGATAAGAAGTTTCAAGCCCAGCAGAGGCGAGTAGTAATTTTTATTGACTCTTTCCCGGCTCATCCAGAGGTAAAGAATCTGAAGTCTGTTGAACTGGTATTCTTTCCTTCAGACTCGTCTTCCAAATTCATAGCTATGAAACAGGGAGTTATCAAAAGTCTGAAAGTCAAATACAGGCATCGCCTTATCAAAAGATTTGTAGACTGTGTAGAAAGTAGTAAAGAGTTTACACTGACTTTGCTCGATGCGGTTGATATGTTGCATCTTTGTTGGAGGAATGTAACTGCAAAGACTATTGTTAAAAGTTATAAAGAAGCAGGCTTCAAGTCACAATCTGGGGAGAATGATAACATGGAAACAGAGGTTGAAAATGATTTAGATTTGATTGCACACGCATTGGCAGCTGGAGTAGAGTTTCCTGAAGGTTTGTCTTTGGAAGAATATGCAGCTCTGGATGATGATCTAGTAACATGTGAAATGCCTACAAATAATGAAATTATATGGGCCAAAGAAAGCACTTCAAATAAAATTTGTTTGTCTGTTTCTGATGATGATGATGATGAAGGTGATGGTTCACCAGGAACTGAACAACCTTTGCCATCAAAAAACGAGGCTCTGAGTGCCTTAGATACTCTAAGAAGATATCTCAGAAGTCAAGACTTAAATGATTCTCTTCATAATTCCCTAGCAGACCTAGAGAATTTTATTCAACATGTAACATCTAAATGAGGGGGAGTGTGCTTTAATGTTTCGTAAAATATCTACTTAACCAGTTAAAAGCTAGGTATTGTGTAGCAAGTGTTGCTGCAAGATTCTCTCTGGTTGGTCTTAACAGAAATGCCAGGTATAATTAAAAAATTTAGAGTAATCAACAAACAAGGCTCTCACCTGAGCTGTTCCAAGGATTATGGGATGAGAAAGTAAAATGGGTGGGTATTAAGATGGAGATTCTACCTTAGCAGCTGTGGTAGGCACAGCAGAAGCAAAAATGATTATTCACCTAATAAATGTAAACAGATTAAAATTATACTCTTTGTTCATGAAGGGTGCTAGCCTTTTCTTACAGGAGTAATCTGACTGAATTTTTTAGAACTATTTACAATATATTGGTAAAGACCTACCTGGTTCGGTTTTGGGAATTACTTCTTTTTATAAAGTACAAAAGAAAAAAAGGACAAAATAGACTTGAGCATTTTGTAAAGAAACGAGATAACATTTCCTTTCCTTGTTACACAATCATAGTCATAATTTATTTTTTGGGTGAGAAACTCTGCAGAATTAGAGGCATAGATAGGGTTTGTTTTGTTTTCTTACAAAAGCTTTCTGGGGCCTGTATATACATACATGCACAGCCATACAACAAAGTGTGAAAAGACAAAACAAACACAAATAAAGGAACAAAAAAAGTGACTCATTATTTGATGGGTTACTTGTCGTAAGAGGATGAAATGGAAGATCATGTAACTTCATTTCAGGTGCTGGGTATCTGAAATTTAGGGTTGATACCCTTCTACATTACTCTTACATTTTTCTATGACAGAAAAATTATTGCTCGATTATGCAGTATCTGCATTAGAAATTTTGCTAAACTTTTCTAGTGTTTACTATACTTGGTAATAATGAAACAAATAAAGTACTTAAATTTATAGCACTACCTGTTAAATGTTACAAAGCAGGGACACTTTTCCTGTAGTAGGACTTTTTTGAAATAGTGCAAACTCCTAGTGTAGACACAGTTGACACAGTCAGTACAGTTTGCTTTGGTTTGGCTTACTAGGTGTGAGTTTGCATCGGTGCAGCTACACTCATGGCTAAAATCTCAGTATGGGTGAAGCCAGGTTTATGAAACTTAAAAAAATAAATAAAATGTTTGTGCATTTTTTAACATACTTAGAATAGTTTTTGGTTAATTGAAATTGACTTTTTAAAAGTTTTTAAAGTTGATAACGTTAAGGATTTGTTTTTGCTTTATTTTAGAAAACAAACACCATGTTTAACAGAAACCCTTTAATAAGCCTGGGCAAGATGGAATTAATTATGGAGTTTAAACCTTGAAATTTACTCCTTTCAAAAAAATCCTCTTTGTTATTCAGCTTGGAAATAATAGTATGACCAAGCTTGTTATTTTTCCAATACAGGGTACCATAACCACTTACAAATACAGCCCAGTAAACACTGTACTGCATCAAAGGCCCATGGCAGATGTTAAGGTAGTAGTGCCACTGAGGGATTTTATGCTCCATTTCAAATTTGTGTCCTGCCATGCCATATGTGCATAGCAGTGTGTACACTGTTTGGAATGGGGCATAACATTTCTCATATCCCAACTGCACCACTGTGGAGCTGCCACCAGTCTGATCTGTGCATCAGGCAGAGGATGGCTCTATCCTGGACCCTAGAGCTGCCCTATACCCAATCTCAGCACTCAGCTGAATGTCAGGATTGGGCATGGGCAGCAATGAGTCCTGGTTCTGGACTCAAAGCTGCCCCCAGCCTGATCCCAGGGATTGGGATGATGGTAGCCACAGGACCAGGAGCTGTCTTAAGCCAGTATTGACAGTGAACTGATTGTTGGCATCAGTCGCAGACAAACCTGAGTCTAGTTCAAGACTTAGGGGACTGGTGCCAAGAAGCAGCTGATTGTCAGCACTAGCCCCAAGACACGCCTAGGTCTGGATGATTGTCAGCACCAGCCCTGGGTCAGCTCAAGATGGGGGTAGGCTGGGGCCAAGAGCATACACTTTGAAGTGCTGGGTTCCAGCGAGCCTCCCAGGCTCATTGAGCACTTGCACACATATGGGGAGCCTGCTCCCATGCCCTGGAAATCCAGCACATTGGAGCAGACCCAATTAATCGAGTCTGCTGGAGCATGTAAATTGATGCGCTCTGGTAGCCTTGCGCACCATGTGCATCAGCAGTGCAGCACAGCTCTGCACTGAGAAAATGGCGGTGATGCACTCTGAGCTAAAACACAAAATACCAACTGCTGATACATGATGCGCAGGTGCTTTTAATTAATGCAGCTTGCTAATTAAACGCGCCTGGTGCTGTGTCGTAAACACATGTAAAAATACCTATTATGACCTAGCAGGTTTGCTACCTTGCTCTGCAACCCTCTGCAGGTCCTATCAAGCCTGCATCCTAATGCGAAGAATCACAGCAAACTACTGATGGTGTTCCTGGTCTGAAAAAGTAAAAACAGGCATTGTCAAACAAAGTGTCCTTCCACAGCTGATCACCTTTATTGGGCAAGATACACATTACCCTTTGTCCTGCATTGGGCAGGCGCACAATGCAGGACAGTGGGTGACATGCTTTCTTTACCTGGTGATTTTTCTCATTCCTCATTGTCCCAGACCCTCCTTCTTGCCAGGTTCCATGCTAGGTCCCACAGAGGCACAGGTCAGTGTGGGTCCTGGCACAGGCATGGAGCAACATGGGATCTGGATAATCCCTGGCACCCCGTGCCTCCACACTTACCCATGCCTCTGCATGAAACAGATCCTGCCAGTGATCACTGCAGGGCAGCACAGGATCCAGGAAATTTTTGGCACTTCATGCCTCCACTCCAGGACCTGCATCAGCTACTGCACCAACCCATGCTTCATGCAGAGGCATGGGTCAGCATGAATCCCAGCCTGAAGGTACAGAATATCAGGGATTCCCCATGTCCTGTGCCTCCACACCAGACCAAATGGGTTTTCCCTGCTTCTGGAGATGTGTCCCTGAAGATCTTGGGGTGTATCTTCATAAGCAGAGACCCCTGACTACCTCTGCTTACAAAAAGGTGCCTTGAGATTCCCTGGCATGCCTCTTTGCAAAGAAGGAAAACTCGGCAGGTACTCCTGGGGCTTGAGGGGCCCAATCCTATGCAGGAATTTCTGGGGTGTGCAGGATTGGGCCCTTCAAGCCCCTGAAGCACCTGATCAGAGCAAAAAGGCATCCCCCACAATAAAATGGCACTAGTTTACGCTACCTTTTAAAGCAGCCGCTGGTGTGGCATGACAAAGGGTAGGGTCTAGTTGCTCGCCATTTGTGCCGCCATAAAACTTGTTATGGTGGCACAAATGCAACATCCGTTTCTATCCACAAGCAACTTCTTATCTAGAGATTCACAGATTCTATAGACAACACAATCCCATTTTACATCCTTTTAGACTATTATTAAAATATAAAGTTGTGACTTTTATATGGAGGTGCTCCATGTTACTTAGTAAATATTAGAGATTCATCTTCCAGAAAACATTACTGTTTATAATTCCTGACCCTATTTCACAGCTATCAGTGCTGCCATTTCTAACAACAGGCAAGTCACAGAACTTGCTAGTCAGACTGAATGTTTCTGAAGACTGTAAAAAAAAAAAAAAAACCTTTCATATAAAAAAAACTGCTCTTACAAGGAACATGCAATCTTAAGAAATGCAAACATTTCTTTTCAGTTAGATTTCTTCACCCTGTTAATTCTAAATTTGCTATTCTAGAACAAGTTCAGGTATTGCTGTTTCAGGCGTCTATAACAAGGTCAGTTGTTTTAAAGAAGAGCAAACTCTTCAGGTCCTAATAAGTAAAGGTGAAAAAAGGAATTTTTTTCAACCTATAAATATTTTAACTTCAGTGTACATACACTGTTTCATTTAATTTTAAGGTGGTTAAAGCAAATCTTCAAAGCATGTGAAAGTGCAAGCAAGTATTGGAAGGCTGGGAACTGTCACTTCAAGCTGAATTTCATTTGAAACTAATAATTATTGTACAAAAGGTCAATTTGCTAGGCCAGATATCTTCTCTGTTCCTTCATCTATTAGTTTAAATATTTGTATGCTTTTTCCTCCACAATTCTCTTTTATTTTGCCAAGAGATTATAATTTTGTATCATGGAGTAGGGGTGTACGAAGTGGGCTGTATTTGATTTGGATTCAGCTGGAATCGGGGACAGTGATTCAATTTGTTGATTGAGTTTGTTCTAAGCCTGGACTAGTGTTTAGAGGACTAATTTTTGTATATAGTTACATCCAGTACAACTCCTGGTCTGTGTGCTAGTTATACCGAGGGAATTTATTACTCCCAAAAGTAGCAGAAACATAGTTTGTACCAATATAATGGCAACTACACTGGGGTGGGAGAGGTATGCCACTTTATACAAGGAATTATACCAGTGTAGTTAAGGCCATTCAACCTTTTTGTTTAAACAACGTTTAACACACTCTTCTATAGCTGAGTTACTTCTGCAGTGTAAAAAGCCATAATTTATATTCAGTTATGTGAGTAAAATTAAGTACAAAAGTGCAATTTTACAGTAACTTTGTAAAAGCATCATGATCCTTTCTTTTTCTCCATTCTTCTGTTGGAAACTTCTTCCACCCTACATTCTGCTTGCTGCTTGAATAGCAGCTTGAGAAAACAGTCACTCAGTCATACTCACTGTACTTCTATCTATATCGTCTGTGAAAAGTTATAAAAAGACAGTCTGTCAGAATGCAGCTGCCACCTCCTCTGTAGGATGAGCTACTGGGGATGTATTGCACCAGCTGATTAGTGTTCTGCATTGCTTCTTGCTTTGTTTCATTTGCCAATTTGAGGTTCTGGTCTTCAGTTAAGGGCAACGGCATCAGAGCCTGTCAGCTGAACAGTTAAATTCTAAGAACAACACAGCAAGCAAAACTTAGGACAAAGCTTGCTCAAGACACCAAAATGACATGCCATTTGCAGCAGAATGATCTGATATTTAAAATCTTTGAAGGGCCTGGGAGCATCATTATGAAAACACCAGGACTGTGCTCAGGATCTAAATGCTCCTTCATTTGCTCCATGGCAGCAAAGTTCCCTGAAGAGGTCTGCCTCCATATAATGCTTTGGAAGGCAGGATATATTTGCACCTTACAGACTAACCAAGTAGATATATATAGCAGGTGTGTGTGTGTGTGTGTGTGTGTATATATATAGATATATAGATATATATATATATATATGGGCTGAAGTTCACTTCAGTAGCTCATGAAATAAGCTTCAGCCCACAAAAGCTTGCCCTGTATACAGCTATCTACTGTGGTTGGCCTATAAGGTGCAATCTACCCTGTTTTCTACTTGACTTCAATCTAATACTGCTAACTATGTGCCCATATAATCCTTGCTAATGATTGCATCTAAATATCCTCAAGGGAGTTTGCAGACAACTAAGGCTGGTTCAGCCTCTGGTAATTAAACAGGTACATTTCCAACTCTTTGCCTAGTAAACATTCTGTGCCCATTAAATCTATTCAGTTGAAGCCATGGCTTTCCTTCCTGGCAAGATTTGTGGCCCCTCCCATTGCATCTTATTACCTGAATGGCATTAATGTGACCTTGTTATCTTAACGTGACCTTTATTAGGTTACACATGTCTAAAGCAAAACTCTTCTTTCCTTTCCCTTCAACTCTCTTTCTACTATCCACTTTCCCCCCTGCAATGATATTCTGATCATTCCAGCAATCAATGCTAGGAACTCTGACAAACAACTTTTTCTCCACCCATATTTCTAATATTAAATATTGCAGAAGATAGTTTCCAAACAGCTCATGTATCAGCCAGTTTCTTACTCTTGGTAAATGTGCTTGTGATCTCATGCCCTAATTTCTACAGCACTATGTATAGCTGCCTTCCAAAAGTCTTACTTTATTTAAGAACGCTTCAGGGTGTTTAAATTCTTCATTGCTTCCCAATTAATTTTATTTTGCCCCTCTAGTGTTTCTATCTAGGGAAGTTAAAATGCTTTAGAAATGTGTATAAATTAACTTGTGAGAGAGGCTCATTTTATAGGTATAGAAACTGAGGCACATGGAGTTGTGACTTTACAAGGTTATTTAGGAAGTCTGTGAGAACTGGTACTCACACAACCCTCCTTTTTGTCTCTTCTTGGGCATCCCCAAGTTTCCTTCTGTCACTGGTTCCCTGTGATC